CCCCCCCGTCCCCGTGGGCCTCGGTAATGGGAGCTTCGGGGGGTCTCTCGCGGGGATCCCTTGCTCCTCTCACAGCCCTGGGGTGGGAGGTGTGGGAGCCCCTCGTGATCTGTGGGCTGCCTTTCTCCTCTCGCAGTCCCCAGGAAGGAGGGATCACCCCCCCGTTACCTGTGGGGTCTTTTCCTGCTCATAGGCCAGGGGAAGGGGGGTTTTTGGGGTACCTCGTTATCGGCGGGTCCCCTTCCCTCACAGTGGCGGGAAGGGGGGAGTTGTGGGGGACCCTCATTATATGTGGGTGTCTCTTTCCCTATTACGATCTCAGAGAAGGGAGGTTGTGGGGTTCCCCCGTCGTCTGTGTGGTCCCTTCCTCTTCATGGCCTGGGAAATGGGGGTGCCCCCCCCCCCCCCCCGGTAGTCCTGAGGGAGAAGGCTCGGAGTGCCCTTGCTCTGTGGGATTACTTTTCCCCACTCTTAAGTCCCAGGGAATAGTGTGGTGATACGCCCTCCCCCCCCCATGCTCCTCGCAATCTCTTAGGTCCCTTTCCTCTTAATAGGTCTGGGAAGGGGGTTGTGGGAGGCCCCCCCATTCCCTGTGGGGTCTCTTCTCCCCTCACACCCCAGGAAAGAAGGTTGTGGGGGGCCCCTCGTTATCTGTGAGATCCCTTTTCCCCTCTCAGGCCTAGAGAAGGGGGGTTTTCCCCTCTATGGGGTCGCTTCCCCTTCGCAGCCTCTAGGTAGGCGGTTGCAGGAGCACCCTGTTGCCGGTGTAAGGGCTGGGTGAGCCGATGCTGGAGGTCTCCCTAAACCTGTGCACCTTTTGGGCGGGGGGCAGGTTCCCTCTCTTTTGGGGTGCTGATTGTGGGGATACCCCTGCTACACGGAGCCTCACCCCTTCAAGTTTCGAGGTCGGTGCGATTCCTGCCCTGGTAGGGAGGGGAATTTAGGGGACCCCCCTGTCCCCAGCAGCTCCGAGTGCTTCGAGGGTCTGCTCTTTTCCCCATTCCTCATCTTGGCAAGGGTTTCTCGTTGAGTCGCCTGCTGCAAAGGGAAACTTGAGCTGCTGCACTGTGCTGGCACAGAGCAGCTGGCAGCCCTCTGTAACTGAAGCAGCGGCCTGATCCAGCCTGTGGCCCAGCACCCTTAGCTGCATCTCCAAACTTGGTGTGGAGCTGGGGGCCCTGTAATGTCAGGCCTCCCCGTCGTCCTGCCCTTGCTCTGTAGGTGCAGCTGGACTCTGCTCATCTCACCTCTCCCTCTCCGTATCCTGGTGTTCCCAACCCCTCTGTAACCTTGGCGGTGCCTCCGGCAGCCCGTCCTGCTTTTTCTGCTTTTTGTTTCAACGACAGCTCGCTCGGGAGGTATCTGTTTCAAAACTATATTTGGGGAATGGGCAGAGCCAGGGAGGAGTGGTTGTGCGGAGGCTGCTAATGTGCTCTCTGGGGGTTTGTGAAGGATTACAGCGGTAGCTAAAGTTGCTGAGGCTGCGACAGCCTGTCATTCCTCCCCTCCTCCCCTCCTGGTGTTCACCGAAATCAGTATGGATTTGTTCTTTCACGTCTCGATCATTGATGTTTTGGAATTGATTGTAATCTGATGTTCACAATCCTGTTGCGCTCAGTACGGGGGAGAAAATAACTTTGCTTGGCTGTATAGCTGTAATTCTTTCCTCTCCTTTTCTAGGTGTGCCCTCTTTCTCCCTGACCTTGCAGGTATGCCTTTTTTCTCTTCACCTAAGCTGTTTGTTTTCAACTACTTTGCTTTTTCTTGTGAAGGTGGCTTCTTTCCTGTCTTTCCCTGCTGCTGATTTCCCATGTCCTTGATTATCTCTTCATTAGCAGTCAGCAGCGTTGTTGCTTGGAGCGAAGAGTCGCATTTTTAGGTGATCAAGGTTGGGAGTCATTGTCGTTTCCCTGGCTAAAGGTTAGTGTGGAGCTTCGTATTATAGCAAAGGTGATGAAGGCGGTTCCTCTCCTGACTCTGTGTCCTGCTGCTTTGAGCCACCGTGAGTTGGGGGAGAGCCAATTTACAGAGTCAAACCAGCAGAAGAGCAATACTACACAAGGGTTAATATTTTCTTTTGCTTTAGCTGCCTGTATTGACTCAGTGCCAGGGTTGAGGAGGGGGTGGATTTGCTCCCTTCAGCTGCAAGAGGCCATCAGACCCTCTGGTGTGAAACCACTCTCAGTTCTTTTAACTCTGAATCACCAAAAGGAACAAAGCAGGAGGCGGTGCAAGGTTTCCTTTGCTGTAGAGCAGGTAGGTATGAGGCAGCTGTGTCTAACCGGTGCCCAAATGCCTAGCTGAAATGGCTCTCGCTTTTGTGCAGGACTGCAGCAGTAGCAGGTTTGGGACGAGGAGAAGCATTTTACTAGGAAGACGTGGGCAGTGCACGTCTTGAGCGTGGCATAGCCCAGGTGCCGGTCTGAGGCTGTAGAAAAACGGACTGGTGCCTGTGGACCTTCTTGCTCCTCTCTCTGCTCTGTCCCTGACATCAAATGGGCCCTTTCTGGGGTTTTTTGGCATTTATTTTTCTGGCTGCTGCTGGGATGAGTGTTCAAGAGCTTCTGGTGGGGAGGCTGGTGTGACATGCGATGGAACAGGAGCACTAAATATATAACCGTGTTGACCTGGCCAAAATCAGCTGTGCCAGGGCATGTAAGCAAATACGCAGATGGAGGATTGGGATAGAATCTCCTGTAGTGAGAACCCGTCAGTGCTGAGCTGGGGGAAGAGTGACCGGTGTTGGCTTGATTGCTGCTTGGACCTGCAGAAATCAGGACTTTCCTGCCTAGCCTTTGGGGCTGCGTCCATGGGGTGTTTTTGGGGCCGAACCACAGGAAGCTGCCCTGTGCCTCCATCATCCTGTGTCCCCTGGTGCCACCTGATGCCCGTTTTTGATGTCTTTTCTGAAGAAGGGAGTTGAACTGTGACTGTAATCTTGCCCTCTTGGTTATGGCTTGCAGAAAGCAGCTGTCATGTCCCTCCAGAAATCAGTGATGGATGAGATTTGCTGCTCTTGCTCGTCTAAAGATACTTTTTCAAGACTATCAGAAATATTTTAAGCCACATCAAACTGTTAAATTATTTCTGGGAGAACTGCTTTCAAATCGTGGCGCTGCCTGACTTGCTGTGCCTTGTTGGGAGCTGACAGATCAGCCTGGCACACAGCTGAAATGAAAATCACAGTTCAGTTCCAGTGCAAGAAATTGTGCAGGGCCTGATGGAATTTAGGTCTCTGGGAGGCTGTGACAAACTTATTTATAACCTCACTCCCCCCAAAATACCCCACATTTATTTTATAGGCCTCTCAATTCAGGAGAACTGTAACTTTCTCATGGACAGAAGAGAAAGAGTGGCTTTCATTAAACTAATAAATGGAGTTGACTTTCTTTTTTTTGGCTACAGCCTTAGGGTAATGTATTGTACGCTTTTGTTTTACTTTAAAAAGTAGCTAGACTTAAGGGGATAATGCAGCCAAATAGCTGAAGTCCAAAGCTTATTTTGGATTTACAGACCAACAATAGAGGCCTTTTCATTGCCTATTTTTAACTTTATGCATTTTCCTGCAGCGCTGGAGGTACAGTACAGATTTGTTCTGGCTTGAAATACCCAGGAAGTGGTGACAAGACAACACCGAGCCCAGAGCTCTGAAGCAGTAGCTATGATTAAAAATTCTTTCAGGTTTTTGTAAGCCCTCTTTAACGGTCCATGGGAGGCCTAAACATTGACCTGTGATTTTTGGTTTTTTTGTTACTTGGGAGTATTTGATTATTTGGCATCGATAAATATTAATAATAACATTTGCCTTTCCAGTGGCTTTATGCTTTGTAAAACACCTGATAGATTGTCTGCACTGTCACTGGAAAAGCAAAATTGTCCTGGGTACGCAGGAGCCAGTCTCTGGTGCGTGCAGTAAGAGCCCTCTTACATTTTTCTACTCCACTCACAGATTTGTGTTTCTTAAACACTTTTTATAAAGTTTGCTGCCTCTGTCTCGAAGTATTAATTTATCTTCGTGCTAAAAAAATGCTAGTTAACTGAAAAACCGCTTCACTTCTGAAAAATGTTACTAGGCAGCGGATGAATGTGGTCTCGGGAGTGGTTTGAGAACGAGATCTTCTGAGCTGCCAGCTTGGTTCTGAGCGTGTGCAGACTGATGGGTTTCTAATTCAGCTCTAGTTTGTGCTCTGATTTTTGCCAGTGGAGAGTGTTCATAAAACTACAGCACGTTCTTTTAATTGTCAAACTTTCTGTTTGAGGGGGTGAAGTGTGTAGTTGAGAATAACCAGGTGGAAAGCTTCGGAACAACCGCGCAGGCTGTGGTTTGGTGCGGTGGTAAATCTTCGCTGCCTCAGACCAGACTGCGAGCAGCGTGGCGTATGGTGCTGGCTCTTAAGAAGTCCAAGTCAGTTTAAATTTCTTCCAAAACCTTTGAAGAGGTGAATTTGTCCCTCCGGACTTTGTCGGATCAGGTATCCTCCCTTCAGTCTTCGTACTGTGCTTTGGCAGACTTGGCTGAAGCTGGATTGTGAGCTTGTGTCTTGTCTGGAGTAAATTTGTATGCTGGGAGAACAGGTAGTGCTCTGGTCTGGTGTTAATGTTCTGCAGCCCACATCTCTCATCAGGCTGTCCGCACCAGCTCAGGTGATGGTTTGTGTAACTAAAATCCTTGTATATGCCTCTTCCCGTGTTCCTCTGGGAAAACTTATGAACACAGAGTAGACATGACATTTTTTTTTTTCTACAGTTTTTGCTTGTGTTTGTAAACTTTACTTCATTGAAAAATCTGGTCTTTATCATAACTGAACCTAAGGTTTGGCCCCTCATGGAAACAAATAGGTGCTGCAAGTATCTTGGACTTGTTTTTGGAAAATGGTATTGCCGCTTGTTGTGGTAAATTCCCTTTACGAAGCTTTTCCCTGGTAATAATCTTCATAAAAAACAGCACTTGAATTCCTGTGAGCCAGATTTGATGGGGAACATTTGCGGTCACTTTGGCTTGGGGGTTTGTGTTGCTTCCTTGCAGAAATACCCTTTTCTTACATGTAATGTTGAATTGGTGACATGAGAAGCTGTGTCTTGTCAGGCTTTGTAAGTGTAGCCTTGTAGGTATGGCTCTTAAATTCTTAAAGGCTTAAATTCTGTCACAGGTGTTCACATGTCGTATTGATGCTTTTCCTGAAAAATTAGTGGGCTGAGTATTGGTATTTATTTCTATCTCATTCATAGAATGTTGTACAGATCGCTAACTTCTGGTAGAAGTAACTACAACCATGTGAATTCATTATTTGACATTATAATTGTTACATTTTCAGAATTCTTTCAAGTATTTGCTGTTGGTGTTTAGTTACCTGAAACTGGGGGACCTGAGCTTCACTTTTGCACCAGCTGACAGTATTGGTAGGGCAGGTTGGGAGTCTTTCTGGCTGGTTCCCTGTCGTGATGGGTAGATCTTTTTGGATATGTATATTTTTTAGTGCTTGTTATTTAAAATTAAAAGTAGCTGAGTGTCTGTGGTGTTGGTTGATTAAGATAATGTAGTTCTGGAGAGTTAACCAGCTGTAAGTTTAATTAAATGTATTATGTAAGGGGGGAGTTAACTATATGATAATACATTTGGCTGTTGTCATTCTGTGTCCTTGCTGACTAGCTGCTGCATCTCTAGAACTGGAAGCTTTCTCTAACTTTACCTTTTTTCTTAATGCTATCATAGGAGCTAAAAAAGTAAGTACTCTCTAGTTGTCATGTGGTTTTTGCACTTTCTGGAAAATCAGGGGAATATAGGCACTGATCTGATACGTCTTACTAGGCGGATTATTGCACAGTTTTCTGATTTCCATTGGAAATAAGTGTACCTTTACAGGTTTATTTATTAAATTCACCTGTGTCTCACTTTGATTCAAGACAGTTCTTTGATTTGAGAACCTCCTGATAGTTGGAGACCTCAATAATGCACCTCACCATTGAGATGAGCGACGTGGGGGCTGCAACTCCAGTGCTTGAAGCTGTTTGCTTAAGGACTTGAGCAAAATCACCTATAATTAAAAAAAATATATTAAACTCCAAATTTTAGTTTTGTTTTTGTCAAATGGTCCTGCTCTTTCTATATGAAATGTTAATAGCTGTAACGCAAATTAAACATTTAAAGGTGTGACAGTTTGAGCTGTATTGAGTCATGTCTGGGTTTCTTGTTATACCCACTGGAGATTCTTCCTGAAATAGTTTAAGTCATAACCTCAGAATATGATAACGCCTGCACTGGGTTAATGAAGTATTCTCAATAAAGGATCTCCTTGAAGGCTTTATTCACTTACAGACTGTGCTTTTTCCTTGGGATAACTCAAATAAGTGTGAATGTAAAGCCAAACAGAGCATGTCAGGCAAATGCAGAAATCTGATGATCTGTTTAGCAGTCTTTATCGACTGCTAAGTAACATAAAAATTCAGATGTGTTGCCTTCACCCTTTTGCATGTCCTACCTATGTATTTTCAGTTGTGCACTTTGCTTTCCCTGTGGATTTTGTGCTGGCAGGTGACTGCACTAGATCCGCATGGCCGTTACCGTGGTACGTGTGCACTGCAAAGCAGTGCCTTTGCGCACAACGCTTTTGATTTGCATCATTTAATCCTTTTCCAGTCTGCCAAATGACCGAAACGCAGGTATTGCTCTAGCAGATGTTGCCTTGTCTTTGATGTTGCCCTCCAAGAATCCCATTTAAATTGGCATCTCCTGTAAAGATTATTTTTTTAAGGGGGATGCTGTTTACCATGTAAGAATATAAAAATATCTTAAATTATTTGTCCGGCAGCTGAGACAATCAGGAGTATGAGGCTGCCTCAATGGTGGTTTGTTTGTTTTTTTTTTTTTTACAGCAGGAAGATATCCGTGTACCTCAAAATAACTTGTGCAGGCTCTTTAG